TTTATAAAAGCTTTCGGTATATAATGACCAACTTCTCTACCTAGGTATATAATATACTATTTTCTAATTTTGACATTTAAAGTGACACTTTTCAAAACTCGTTGACGTTATCAAATGCCTTACTTTTCATCACCAGTTACGAAAAGTAAAATTTTTCGCAACTGGTGATGAAAAGGTAATTTCACAATTAGTTGCACAAAATACAGGAATAAAATCTGTGATACTTTTGGGGCTGAACTACTCGGAGTACTTTGTTGTTATTATATTCTTTGTACGGACATATTAGGAAGATTTAATTTTATTCAAATTAGTTACATAATATGACAATGTATGAAAAAAAAACTAATTAGTTTTAAATATTAATACTTAACACAATTTGAACAATTATTGATGATATTGACAACATAGTTTTCTGTGTAACATTAATTAAATGAATGAATTGAATGTTTTTTTCATGGAAGTCTCTCCCATGTTGGAGACAATTTTCTGTTTTTTATAGTTATGAAATTTTCCACATAGCCCTTAGCGGCTGTATTAGACTTCCACCCCCTATGCTATTTAATTCTCAGCCAATCAACCACAGAATCTACAAGCAGATTTAGGTACCTAATGTCTGCCCAGCGAGTCTGTGTCTACGGGGCAACGGTAAGGGGAATGCAGTTGTAAAAAAAAATGGCTGATTTCATTCATAAAATACCCAGCTGCGTGCGTAACTTTTTGGAAGTGTTATCGTATTGCAACTCGTACACGAAAAAAAGCAATGACCAAATCTCCGCCACTGGATATGTCAATATAAATCGATATTCCAAGATGGGAGGATAAAATGACGTGAGCCCTGGCCAATAGCGAGACGTAAGGTGACGTTAGCTCTTTGACAACCGTATGGTTCCCCATGACAACGGCGATCCTGCCAAAAACTCCACCAATCAGGTTCATCCAGGACGGATGCTTGCCAAATTGTCAAAAGCTGATGGTATCTTTAGAAAATGTTTATTTTTTACAATAGACCAAACTGAAGAAATCAGGATTAAAATAAGGATAGGTCTAACAACCACGTTAAAATATTTAGCGTTTTATTATTGTTATAAATATTTTGTTATCAAAAAACGGATTTTCAAATTAACTATACTTCATGCTTAGTATTTTCGCTTTTTTATAATTAAACGTGGCAACATGACACATTTACGTCCGAATTCCTTCCGTAGACTCAGATCCGCCGAAAGCAATTTCCGGTTTGAGTCGCCAAACTTGACAATAAACAATACTGGCTTCCATGGTAACGGAAGGGAAACATCTCTGAACTTACTTGACAATTTAGAAATAATTATAGAAGGGACATTTTTCATGGTTTTGATTCTGAAATCTGCTCGTTACGAAAAATAGTGCTTTTCCCAACTGGTTGCACAAATAACTATTATTTGTCACTCATTTGTAAAACGTCACTTATCAAGTCAAAACATAAACAACGAAAATTCATTTTTACAAGCTACTGGTGGCTACTGGCTCCACTGACTTGTAAAATTGACAGCTAAACTGTAATAGTTATTTACCTAACAAATGCGGAAAGTGATACTTTACCGCACGTATTTGAAAATGGAAAGTATCACTTTACCGCACACTATGTTAACTTTACAGCATAGTGTGTGGTAAAGTTAACTTTACAGCATAGTATGCGGTAAAGTGGACTACAAAGTGTGCGGTAAAGTGCACTTTACCGCATAGTGTGCGGTAAAGTAGAATTTGATATTTATAATCAAAATTCCTTTCTTTTTCAGAAAATGGATTTTTGATCATTTCTAAATTTAGGTAATCTTATTTCATTAATTATTCTGATTCATTAATTAATTTTATCAATTTTTGGAGATGTAGATGCTCATAGGTAAAATTTTGTACCTAACACATGCGGAAAGTGCCTTTACCGCCCTTAACGGCTTGGCCGAACTCCGCTTCGCATTTGTTAGGTAAATAACTATTACAAGTCAGTAGAATTATTTATTTTTAAAAATCAATTTTATCACAAGAATAATTGCTTGAAGGTATACCTTCTGGAAGAGTAATAAATAAATTTATTTGTCACTCATTTGTAAAACGTCACTTATCAAGTCAAAACATAACCAGTGAAAATTGATTTTTACAAGCTACTGGCTCTACTGACTTGTAAAATTGACAGCTAAACTGTAAAAACTTTTTACAAGTCAGTAGAATTATTTATTTTTGAAAAATCGGTTTTATCACAAGAATAATTGCTTGTAGGTACCTTCTGGGAGACTTTTCTGGTGATAAACTGTTGGCTACGACTGCAGCTTCATTAATAATATCTTGTAATAAATTAATTTCTGGGAAAAAATTGCAAAATGGAAATCTGTCAAAAAACCTATTTATAACTAGAAACAACGTCTTAACAACGTATCATTCTCATAGTTATACCAACTACCAAAACTTCTGTGAGAAAAAATCAAGGAAAAACATATAAATTTCAAATTTTTGTTATGTATTGATTTTTTATTTGTCCCTATATCTTTTACAAATGAGTAACAAATAAATTATTGTACATTATACGCCAGGTAGCAGTTTTTACCTGGCTAATAATGTAATAGTTATTTATGTATCAAGGGAATTATGCAGGTCTTAATACCCCAGGGCAACGTTTGTGTCCTGAGGGCCTCCGGCCCGAGGGACACCGATTGCCCGTGGGTATTAACTCCTGATAATTCCCGTGGTACATAGATAATTTTATATCCTACTGAATTTACTGTATTCTGTCTATTTTTATAAAGGAATAAGCCATAAATCAAAATTTCTATTTTTTGTCAAAGTGTTACCTATTCAAGGTAAAAGCGGGAGTTATGGAAATCCTTAACTCCCTTGGGAGTTATGATATCCTTAACTCCCTTGGGAGTTAAGACCCTGTTTATGATTATCGTAACCAAGGTATTATATGGTTTTAATAGTTCAGTAGGATATAATAGTTATTTATGTATCAAGGGAATTATGCAGGTGTTAATACCCCAGGGCAACGTTTGTGTCCCGAGGGCCTCCGGCCCGAGGGACACCAATTGCCCGTGGGTATTAACTCCTGATAATTCCCGTGGTACATAGATAATTTTATATCCTACTGAATTTACTGTATTCTGTCTATTTTTATAAAGGAATAAGCCATAAATCAAAATTTCTATTTTTTGTCAAAGTGTTACCTATTCAAGGTAAAAGCGGGAGTTATGGAAATCCTTAACTCCCTTGGGAGTTATGATATCCTTAACTCCCTTCCTTAACTCCCTTGGGAGTTATGAAAATCCTTAACTCCCTTGGGAGTTAAGACCCTGTTTATGATTATCGTAACCAAGGTATTATATGGTTTTAATAGTTCAGTAGGATATAAAATACTATATTGTACATTATACGCCAGGTAGCAGTTTTTACTGGCTCTTAAAGGTGACAAGCTCGCCTGACGGCTCGCTAGTCATTTCCTTCAATCGCCAGTAAAAACTGTTTTACCTGGCTAATAATGTAAAATACCTACTATTAACACAAATATCATAAAATATGTGATTCGAAATATTCTGTTAGTGCCATAAAGACGTCAAGGCAACAGTGTCATAAAGTAACATTTCCAATGCTAGGGAGGGTGTTAAAAACTGCATTTTTACCTTTAACACGTTTTTTCCAAGAAGTGATTGTGACCTAAATGACGCAACCTCTCATTTTTTTTGTTTTTTTCAAAATGAAGCAGTTAAACATCTACATAATCAACAATATCTTTTCTGTTGTCCACAAAGATATAACCTCCGCATCTCGCCCTTCAGTACCTACAGATGGACCAATGCCTGGACTCGATTAGTTGTGTTATAGGTTTCTTATTAGATGAGAATTAGGCGATTCTTCGAGTTCAATTGGTGTAGGATTGGAGAGAATTTCTTGTTTATCAGCTGCTAGTTGCTGCCTTGAAACTATTTTTGGCAATTACCAAATACCTTATTCTTTAAAGCACATTTTTTTTTCAAAATTACTGTCCTTTTTAGTTCACGTATTTTTTTATAAGTAATATTTGTAGTGATATCACCCTTCAATGCGCCAAAAAGTTGTTGCCAAAAATTATGAGGTTTGATATCACTTTTCATCGATGAAACATAACATCCTTCAGACTCCAGAATATTAGACTTTCTCGTTTTCCAAGAAGCTACATAGCTAGTCAGAGAACTGTTCAGGTCAAACTTATGACTGCTTGCAGGAAAATGAGTTGAAAATATCCTTGTCTAATTTTGTAGGCCTCTAGCCGAACTTGATTCATTACTATGTAATTTGACATTAGTTGATGACATACAGCATGAAGATACTTTTAGCAGAATAAGTACCTTGAATTCCAGAGGAAGTGAACTTCGAGGAAGACAAGCAATTTTTTCCCGCACGGCAATCACAGATGATTTACCTCCTTCACATTTAACGCAGCATTACACTCAAGGCAACATATTGTCACAGATTACCTAATACAGATGCGAAAGTACGTATACTTGTCGTCCACGATATTCTGTGACGAAGCCGGGCCGCCAGCGCCCCGACGCATAGTTAAAGATCGCCCGCGTCAGGACAATTAACGTGGCCAAGTGCGTGAGCATGTTGCAGCCTGTGTGTTTACATATTTTTGCGGGTAGAAAAAAATATTTTTTTGCTGTTTATGAACCAATTAAAGAAATAATATTATATTATTGAGCTTCCGCATTTATATAATAAATATGCTCAAAATACATTGATGTGGCATTGGTGCGGCCAGCCTATGTCTATCAAATTAATCTTGAACCACGAATTCCCAGCTCTTTTGCATCTGTATGTAAGTAATCTGTGATATTGTGATCCTTCCAGCTGCTGACTTTTGTTACCGAATTCGCCAAGTGAGACGAACTAAGTACAGTATAACTGACACGGCCGTTCTATTCTGCACATTTTTCCCAAACTGTTTCCTTCGAATTTTTATTGAGAAAAAACCTAATATTTCATTCTTTCAGGCAAGTTGCCGGAAGAACATTGGGCGACTTGGTACGAAAACTCGGCGAACGCGTGCTGCCTGAAATTATACCGATCCTGGAGAAAGGCCTACAATCAGACCAACCGGATCAAAGACAGGGTGTTTGCATTGGTCTCTCAGAAATTATGACATCGACATCAAAAGACATGGTGTTGACGTTTGTAAATTCACTAGTACCCACTGTAAGGAAAGCGTTGTGCGATCCTCTTCCCGAGGTACGGCAGGCTGCAGCTAAAAGCTTTGATAGTTTACATTCTACTGTTGGTACCAGAGCCTTGGATGATATTCTTCCTAATTTACTGAATCAACTGGTAAGGGGTTTTATTGATTTTGTTTGAATGAATCTTGCATATTTTCATTTTTCTGTATGGTAGCGCTAGGTGAAAAAAGAAACACACAAAAGAAAGCCAAATATGAATGGCATATATTTGTGCAAACTTTCCTTTTAATATCACTAATTCTTAATTTTATTCCAGAATGACGACGACCCAGATGTTGTAGAATATACTCTAGATGGCTTACGACAGGTCATGGCAATTAAGTCGAGAGTAGTATTGCCCTATTTAGTTCCACAGCTGACAGCACCGCCAGCAAATACTAAAGCTCTTTCAATTTTGGCTTCAGTTGCTGGAGATTCTCTTAATAAATATTTACCTAGAATCCTTCCTGCACTACAGATGGCTCTTGCAATATCTAAGGGAACACCTGAAGAAGCTCAACAACTAGAATACTGCCAAGCGGTCATTCGATCAGTCATCGATGATGTTGGGACTCGAATCGTAATTGATACTTTGTTAGAGAATACCAGAAACGTGAATGCAGATCAAAGAAGGGCTGCCGCAACTTTGCTATGTGCCTTTTGTGCCAGTCCTAAAGCTCAATATTCGTCCTATGTTCCTCAGTTATTACGTGGACTTGTACATTTGATGTCGGATACTGATAAGGACGTGCTACAAATGGCTTGGGAAGCCTTGAATGCTCTCACCAAGGTAAGATTTTTTTTTAAATTAATATTATCAGGGATCAGTTTTCAATCATTATTTTTTTCTACTGACGTTTCATAATACGCTTATTAAACGATTAAAATCTGTTTCATAATGAACTTCATTATGATACAGATTTTTCAGCCACTGAAATCGAGTTATTTTAAATATGAACAATATTTATATAAAAATAGCAGACTTGTTTTGGATTATTTCTATTAGTATTTACCAAAAGAAACAACAAAAAATTAATAAATCGGGTGCGGAATTTATGCCCAAATGACGCCTAGGTCTCAATTTTCGAAATTGTCAATAGCTTTCAACAATTGTCACCAGTTGAGAAGTTTACGAATCTCAATGGCCATTTCCACCAAATATATTAGGGGAACCTTATCGATCAATATGCCCTAAACTGAAATTTCTCCATGTAAAAATGTAATTTTAAAGAATACTTATCGTTGAGAGTCCCCTAGAATAATTGGTGGAAACGGCCATAAAATAGATATGTATTTCGTTTATTATTGCAATTAGAAAATATAGTGTACCTATGCAACTCTGATGTAATGGCCATTAAAACACGTTGACTGCCGACCACTCCGATCGGAGTTTACTGGCATCAATCGGAGACGCCAACTACTCCAATCGGAGTGTGTATATGCTTGATTTGTAAGTCTAATAATATTCAGTAGGCGTTGGCGAGAGAATGTCGCAGTCGCTCCGGCGTCCTTCTAAATGCATTTTTCCAGCACGTGTTTTAGTTGGTTACGCGTTTTTTATTTTTTATGTCGTTAAACATGGATACCAAACAAAACGAATAAAACTTGACGGCGTCCGAGAATGCCTCAAAAAATATGGTCGGCAGTCAACGTGTTAACACACTCGCATGTTATATACTATTATAAATATTTGATATGGAATCTACATGTTGATTATGTATTGTATACAGGGTGGCCCATTTTCGATGTTTTAATGGGCTACCTATAAGACCAGCAGAGATATCAAAAATCTGGGAGCACATTCTCGACCTCTTTTTTTGGGAAAATAACAATGGCGAAGACAAATCACGGCTAACTTGGCGCGTTTAGGAAATACAGGGCACTTTTCAAATTTTGTCCAATTTTGAAAGACTCTCTAATTTCCTTATTATTCAAGATATCCAAAAACTAAAAATAATTTCTATAGGCAGTTTTTCAAGTAGAATCTAGTGGCATGACCAATTTTTATCCAGATGCCACCGATTTCGGAATATTGACCAAAGTTGTGTTTTTTTAAATGGGACTCGTATATTATTTTTTCATTGAATGGCTCTTTGTGAGCTGATTTCAATGATATAAGGTTTTATACCTTTATCTTCAATAGTTTTGGAGAAAAAAAAAAAATCCGTTTTTTCCATTAGAAACAATGAGTTAGAAAGAGATAGTTGAACTATGAATCGGCTACAAATTTCTTAGGGCCATATTCTCCGTAGTTCATAAAGCTTGGCTTAGTGGAAAAGCTCGGCTTTGTCACACAAAAAGCCAAGCATTTCCACTTAGCCAGGCTTTATGACCTACGGAGAATATGGCCCATAATGCTTAATTTAATTTTTCAGTTCAGCTAATTTTTTTTTAATTTGAGCTATGAATCGGGGGTGATAAATAGGCAACACATAATTTATTTATTGACTTATTTCCACAGCTTTTATTTCTCTCTAGCTCATTGTTTCTTATGGAAAAATGGAATTACTTTTTTTTTCTCCATAACTATGAAAGGTAAAGGTATAAAACCCTATATCATTGAAATCAGCTCATAAAGAGCTAGGTATTCAAAAAAAATAATATACAGGGTGTCCCATTTAAAAAAACACAACTTTGGTCAATATTCCAAAATCGGAGGCATCTGGAGAAAAATTGGTCATGCCACTTGATTCTACTTGAAAAACTGCCTATAGAAAGTATTTTCCGTTTTTGGATATCTTGGTTAATTACACAGGGTGTCGGGTGTCTTGAATTTGACACATAATTGGGATCTCTCAAACGGTGGGAGATACAGGGTTGGTTGAATTAGGGCAACGTTGTGTAATTTGATGCTAAACAAAATGCCGCTTAGATATTCAAGTATTTCGAATACTTCCGGAGATATCCGGAATAAACCGAAATTTTGCAAAATTTACCAAAGCGATATTTCAAAAAAAAAAATAACACGATCATAGCCACTTTGTCTACCCTACAAGATGCTACTATATCAAATTTAAAATCTGACGTTTCGTCTTTAAGCCACCATCATCAACTATATTTTTTTTTTCAATACGACCCTGAACTTTTTATTTCAGATTTTAAGAGCTTCTGATGTCCCAAAACCTCTGACGTAGGTATTGCATTTATTCGAAAAAAAATTTTGTCCACTTTCCAGTAATTTTCTACCAAAATTCTATTCTCTGCCTCTCTATAACACATTTAGTTCTTATGGAAAGTGCCAATAATATAAATAGTCTCGTACATCGACCTTTAAATTTTGTAACTCATTATGCAGGATGATGTATCGGGTCTTCAAAAAAAAAAAACAATCAAAGATTGCTTTGGTTACGAAAACGTACGTCGCATTATTGTTTGTTTATTGGTCAGGATTTTTGACATGTCATTTTGACATTAAATTTCATTGACTGACATTGTCAAAATTAAAGAAAAATATTGCTAAGACGTACTTTTAAAAAACCATAGCAATCTTTGATTGGTTTTTTTTTTGAAGACCCGATATTATGAATGTGACCTCGTCCTAACTTTTTCATTTGACATTTTTGATAAAGGTGTCGAATAAAAAAGTTTTAAGAAATTGACGTTTTCAATTAAAAGAGATGGACAATAAAGTATGAAAACAATCATTTTCCCGCCAACATTTGCTTGCTTGTCAATGCCAGTGTGTATTGGGTGTTTTGAAAGAAATTCTGGGAAAAGTTACTACTTCATTTGCAGAACTTCGCTATAGGGAAAGCGGTGAATTATTTTGGAAGCAAACAGCTACCGCAAACTAAACTTGAACATGGATTACTTTGTATACTTGATGGGCCGTGGATTCCCTTTTTTTTTGCGAGTATTCTTTCTGATTTTATGTATCCAAAATTTGACAAATGTAGGATTTGATGGAAACTTATGGAAAGACACGTCCGCCGGTAAATAGGAATTATTTTTACAAAAAGGCACACTACATAATCACCATTGTTAGGAAAAAACTTTGAAAAAACTTTGAAAAAACTTTGAAAAAACCGAGGAAATAATAGTTTCCAGTTTCCACATGTACAAAAGTCTTGTCAACAAACCACTGTCAGCGGCTGTCAACCGTTGTTTTCATACTCTTTTGGCGTCTGACAGTTTGACGCCAGAGAGAGAAGCTTTTAAATTGAAAAGGTCAATTGTCAAAAGTTTTTAACTAATAGGGATTTCCATTTGTCGAACCAGTGCAAAAAAAATGTATCCTTATCCTTACATGTTACATACTTTTAGAAAAAGATGCGGATACACTCAGTGCTCACTGATTGACAAACATGGGCGCCGTTACGAGGTTTCTCAGGGGGGGTAGAACCATAATAAGATCATCTCCAATAGCACCGCTGGTAACCGCCGGAGGCGAAAGCGAAATTTTTTTTGGTGCCACGTCCCTTTTTTGAACATTTTAACGTACTTATTTGATATCGATATATGTACATACAGGGTGTCCCACGGTGGATGGCGTATTAGACGTTTATGGAGAACTAAAAAGCGGATCATTATGAAAATTTGGCAACCGGGATAAATGACCATGATCTAAACTCTAAAAATATTTTTGACCATGCGGTGTTGCCCCTTCTACTCTAAACTAGTAGCAACATCGCTATTTTAAATGGAACACCCTGCATGTGATTACCTATTCGGATTCTACGTAAAATTTTGAGTAGATTTCATGTGATTTACCCTATACCTAAGTTCAACTGTTTTGGAAATATTGACAGTTGAAAATTAGCTTTTTGCAACTTTGACAGGCTGTAAAACCTGAACGGTTAATTTTAGAGGAAAACCGATTTTACATTCCTATTTTAGATTTTTATAAACTATCATTTGACACCAACTTTGAATTAAATCCATGATTAAAAATTCCAGTTAAATTTAATTTCCGGTTAAGTTCAAAGTTGGTGTCAAATGATAGTTTATGAAAATCTAAGATAGGAATGTAAAATCGGCTTTCCTCTAAAATTAACCGTTTAAGTTTTACAGCCTGTCAAATTTGAAAAAAGTCAATTTTCAACTGTCAATATTTCCAAAACAGTTGAACTGAGGTATAGGGTATATCACATAAAATCTTTTCAGAATTTAACGTAGAATCCAAATATGCAATCACATACAGGGTGTTCCATTTAAAATAGCGATGTTGCCACTAGTTTAGAGTAGAAGCGGCAACACCGCATAAACAAAAATATTTTTAAATTGTAGATTATAGTTGTTTATCCCGGTTGCCAAATTTTCAAAATGATCCGCTTTTCAGTTCTCCTTTAACGTCTAATACGCCATCAACCGTGGGACACCCTGTATAGTTAAAAATGATGGTATTTTTTTCCGCAACAAAGTCACTGTCCTCATCATTTGTTTAAGCTACGTTTACACTTGGAAAGTTTACTAAGGGCCAAATTCTGGACTGACTGGTAACGTCTGGTTGTTACCTAGCAGGTACTTTCTATGCACTAGAGAATAGAAAGTACTGGCTAGATAACAACCAGACACTTGCCAGTTGGTCCATAATTTGGCCCTAAAGGAAAGTACTTGCCGCCACTAAACTTGTGATGTGTAAGCCACAGGAAACTGCACTTGCTACTTGCCTGCAAGCGCTTTCCAAAAGTTGATGGACCGGCTAGTTTACTTGCCGCTACGCCAAATTTCTGTTTGTTTACTTTCCGTGTGTAAACGAGTCACAAAAACAGGCGTCCACGTTTCTGTATAAAACAGGCGTCCACGTTGTTGGATTCTTTAAAATAATGAGAGTGGAATGTATTATTTTGT